CTCTCTCTCTCTCTCTCTCTCTCTCTCTCTCTCTCTCTCTCTCTGTCTCCCCCTCTCTCTGTCTCCCCCTCTCTCTGTCTCCCCCTCTCTCTGTCTCCCCCTCTTTCTGTCTCTATCTCATCCCTCTCTGTCTCTGTCTCTCTCTCAAACACACACACACATTCAATAATTCATGATTATTAGAAAATAGACAATTCATTTGAAACACAAGCACTAACATCACTATATAAGGGAAGATAGATGAAAAGCCTTGCCAAGATTCATGGCTACTTTGCAAGTTGGAAGTCAAGAAAATTCCAAACGGGTTTTGGACAAGTGCATAGGTTCTTTGATATAGAAGAGGATTGTGGGTAAAATTCAAGCTCGGAGATAGGATGATGATGCTTTTGTACAGGACTCTATATCCTCATTCTTCATTCTTCTGTTTCTGAGCCAAAGGAATTTGTAGATGTGTTACTAATGGAGGAATATAAATACACAAACTGCCAGCATTGGTGCACACTGGATGGCTGCTCAAAGGACAGAAATCAGGAAATGAGCTTTATTCCAGGATCCTTTCTAAAAGTCTGAACTTCAGATGACAGTAGAAGTTTATGGAACTTCACATCTTATTCTAAAATTCCCATAGTAACTTTTAGCTGTCTATGATTAAACAAATCAGCAACCTCAAACTCCTGCCGACCTCAGACTCTTTTGTTATATCTGAAGACATTCCATCTAGACACAAAACAAACTATTATGTCAGGAGTTATTTCCCCAAACTGGTTCAGAGTATGTTTGCACAACTACAATGAGTTATATGCTTTTGCTGGCATCACGGCTGAACTCCAATAAAAATGATATTTGGTACTAAATTCGACAACAGTATTTCTAGGTTGAACACTAATATGTTGGTTTAAGATAAAAATCTTACCCATAGGTATCACTTGAAGAAACAGGAATGCACATTTTTTTGCATGTATTTAGCCTAATCTGTAACAGATCTTAGTCTTATTGCTCTCCACCTGATCTGAACCAAAAGGCCATGAAGTGACAGTCTTATCACGACTTAATTGTTTTAATCTACTTTTTAAGTAAAATAACACTTTTCTGCAATGGAAATGATTGAGAAAAGAATACGTTGCTTTACATGATGTCATTTCTTTTATGCAGGTTCAATAGCAAGAGATGGTGTCTCTCTGCTTCTGCATTCAAAATGTAGCGACTTCTTACATGTGGAATGTGTGAAGAAAATACGGCCTCTTACACACAGTAGCTGAAGGTGAGAGGACTCATGGGAGTTCTCCAAAAATTACAGAACAAACTTCAGACGTTTTATACGTACTGGGCATGTGGCCTACTGAATTTACTTACGAATGAACCAAACTGTGACTCACGAGAAAACATCAAAGAAAGAAACGTGGGAGTAAAATCTGCCAACCTCGTGGCAGAAGGAGATTTTGTCTGTATGTCACCGTTTCCTACGACAGAGAGCAAAGCGATGCCTCCGTCAGTTATGCGGTGATTTGGCGTGTGCGTAGGGATACAAATGAGTACTCAGTGCCTTTCATTAGGCCAGGGCTTCTTAGAGTTTCCCCTCTGCAATGCCTTATGATACAGAATTTTTTTTACATGGCTCTGGTATATTGACACATAAAATAAGTATATGAATGAATCATTTACCCAAAATAAACCATAATAAAATTTAGTTTAAAACAAATGTCTGGCATTACACGGTTTTACCACTTGTTGAAGACAAAATCAAATTGACTTACAAATGAGACAAGTGTGATTATTTATTTTTACATAAATAATCATATTTTGAATGAATATTTGATACTGAAAGATAGGGAATTTCAATGTTTTTCAAAAGTTATCAATATTTTGATTTTGTCCTCATCAGTGCAGAAAATTCTAATTCACATCAATACATCATACAAAATGGTAGAAGAGGGTCTAGGATGATAAATCAATTCATTTGTGTCACAAACATAAGGATATGAGCTAATATCAGGCATTCATGGAAAAAGCCATATGTATTAGTACATGGCTGTAATATCAGCCCTGAGGAAGCAGATACTCAGGCTTCATCGACCAGCCAGGCAAGTTTAACAGCTGAACATGGAGATTAGGGACCCTGTCTTAGTAAAACAAGGTGGACAGCTCAAGGGGAACAACATCTGAGGTTAATCTGTGGACCCCCAGTGCTATAGAAACACATACATGCACACCCAAATACACATGCATGTCTAATACACATGCACACGTGTGTATATGCATGTACACATACAAAATAAATAAAATTACATAAATTTGTTTAGGACCCACTTTATAAATTATTATAAAAATTCACATATTAATTTTTCTATGAAATCCAATTAAGTGACTCAAACAACAGTTTTCAAGTCAAACGTTCTAACAGAAGTCAATCCAGAGATATACTAATTTGATAAATATTGACGAATGACAATTAGAAATAAACACTAAGCATCCTTGTTTTTTTTGTAATTAAAGCATTATTTTCATAAGGGTGGAAAATTTTGTCAACAGAAAAGAATCTTCAATTCATAACACACAACAGTCTGGAATCTGAGCCGGGGTGCTTTGGGCAGCATACATTGACATCCCATGGTATAACCACATATGTACTTCAAAGTACCCATGTTGTCTTCAGAACCAAGACGGCAGTAAAGTTACAAGATAAAACAAGGACAAATGTTGCCACAAACACCTCAACTCCATCACTCAGGTGACTTTCAATTAATTTTGGTCATTGTATGTTCACAAACTTTTAACTGTTGCCAAACTTGGTGGTGATGGTGGTGAGTGAGAAATCAGAAATTAAACCACAATGCTGTTGTCCTTCCCTAGAGTTTAGCAAGCTTGCTCATGGCGTATTGAGATTTAAGGCTACTTTATCTTAATAAAATTATGTACGAAACATTCTACATGATCTGTGCCCACAGTGAGCTTTTACACACTAGTTGACAATGGTAATGTAGATAGACTCAGTGTTTCTCTGCCTTCTGTGGTTGCCCTTTCAGATGAGAAGTTAACATGAAGGAATTCATAGTAAGTGTAACAATCCATAATTAAAGGGTTCGTGAAAATGAATCAATATAGATATACTTGCTTACTTTTACCTTATACTTTAGTCTGGGCTATTTTTTCCCTTATAAAAAAAAAGAGCCTGAATATAGAGCTATCATACCGTGCAGCAATGGTGAGGTCCTCAAGACTTCAGGATCTAGTTCTTCTCTTGGACACTTTGAAGTGTATCTGGTTCTTCATAGAGCGGTGCCTTGTCTAGTCATCATCAACGAGGCTTTTTTTTTCCAGAAGCAGATAATAACCAAACCAGAAATTAAACAGTCTACATTGGACGTTCTCAGGTCCCTCCCCTCCAAGAAATCCTGCAGAAGGCTGGGAGGAAAGATTATAGGAGTCAAAGGGATGGAGGACACCAGGAGAATATGGCCCACTGAGTCAACTAAGTAGGATTCACAGACTGAAGCCACAAGTCGGGGCCTCCAGTGGTCTGTACCTGGTTCTCTGCGTATACGTTCTGACTGTTAGTCTGGTGTTTTTGTTGGACTCCTAACAGTGGGAGCAGTGTGTCTTACTCTTTTGTCTGTTTTGGGGACAAGGTGGCCTTGTCCAGCGTCCATATGAGGGCTTTTGCCTGTCCTATTGAACCTTGTTTTGTCCTGTTTGGCTGATGTTTCTTCGGAGACCTATTCTTTCCTGAAGACGAAATGGAGGTTGAGTGGATTTGGGGGAGAGGGGAGGTTTGGGGGAAGCAGAGGGAGGTGAGACTGTGGCTTGGTTATGTAGCAGGAGAGAAAAATCTATTTTCAGTGAAACAAAAAGTTTTAAAAAATGTATCCAGGTTCTTCCCTTTGCCACACTGAAATCTAGTTGTGTTCATCCTCTTCACTGTTAGGAGTTCCACGTTATCAACTTAAAAGTAAATGTAAGGGCAGTGACCCACAGGGCTTTGTGACACGGAAAGTTCATGTTTTGAAAAATGTTCAAAAAAGTGGATTAGAAAAAGTAATAGATGCTAAAATTACTAATCACAAAATGAAGAGAGATGAACCCAGAGAACATGGCTTTGTTAAAGGAGCTAACTCAACACAGTTCAGTTCAAGTGCATTTTAGCCTCTAGTTATAGCAATTAATGGACGTGGGTCCTATTCTTTTCATAGAAAAAATGAAGTATAAAAATATGTCCCCTACTTCTTGGGAGACTGATGGGCATTATTCAAGTCTATTGACTATTGGCAAACTAAGTGCTTAAGTGTCTTCATACAAAACAGTCATGAGATATCTATTTTGATTAAGCTTTTGAATTAACATGGAATAACTGCTCAGGTATCATACTCCAAAACTATTTTGTAAGACATTTATTTTTATGTTAATATTTCCAATGTCTTTAAATGACCTGGAGTGCCCGCTCCTCTTAATGGTGTGCAGTGCTTACCTGTTTGTATAATTTACGACATGTGAAGGAGGTATGCTGGTCATATCAGAGTGACCAGTACATCCATTGCCATGGGCATTGATCATTAAACACAACAATTTTTTTTTCAGATAAATGTATGAAAGGATGCTAACTTACAGATTAAAAAATATATATTCTGCATTTTAACTTGCCTGCTAAAGATCAAATTTTCAAATATTTTTCCCTTTAGAGTCTTTTCTAAGCACCCCTGTTTATTAGTTAGTCTGACTAGTACCTCAATGCTATTCTCTCCTTTGGAATCACTACACACTAATAATGAGCTGAAGCTATAACCTATTGATTTTCCTAGCACAGAAGAATACACTAATATATTTATTTACCTTCAGTGAGAATATTCACCTACTCCTACAGTAGTGATATCAGCAGACATATGGTTAGATAATTGTTGAGCATATTTGGGTAAGAAAAATACTGTTTTGCCCATACAATTCATACATACATAAAGCACAGATAAAGACAACTAGATTAGAGATGTAGCTCAGTATGTGCTAAAAAGGCCAGTTAGATGGCTCAATAGATAATAGTATTTGCCACAAAAATCTGCCAACCTGAGTTCAATCCCTGGAACCCAAGACAGAGAGATAAAGCCAACTTACAAAAAATTTCCACAACCCCGCTCTGGCATGTGTTTAGCCTCTCCCTCTTTAATATGCACAAGCACACAAAATCACACAATCACACAATAAATAAAAAATTATTTTTTAAAGATATGCTGACAATCTTGGCAAATAAGAAATTTGCTTAACAACCTTAAAGTATTTGTTGGATTCCAGTAGTTGGTACCACATATAGTGAAAATCACAGAATTTGCAATAAATCACAAGACCATGACTTAGAAAGACCACAAACATTAAAGGAAAAACATAAAAATATTCTAAAAATTAAGACCAACAGGACAGGAAATAGAAGTCATAAGGTTACGATGATCATTTAAAACAGAAAACTGGAAAAGATAACATGGCTGTTTGGATTCTTCTCTCTATAGTTAAGGATAAGTGATACAGAAAATGAATATCCTAAGCTTTTAATGCCTGCAGTATTACATTTCTTTGGGCAGCCTTCTTCTCTAATTATGTAAAATTACTACATAATTAAACTTAAATGAAGTATCTAAAATAACTGAACTCGGAAAAGCAAAGAACAAAATGATGGTTGCCAGAGGCAGGGAGGAGGGGGAAATCAGGATTGCTAATCAAATGTGTATGATGTTTGGGTAATATAAGAGGAATGAGTTCCAGAGATCTGTTAGGCAACCCTTTAAATGCACCAAGCAACATTTTATTGGACACTTAAAAATCTATTAAACGTACTTCTCATATTAAGTGTTCTTCCCACAAAAATGAGTAAAATGTCTATGCAGTTATCACCTATGTGACAATAATGAATATATTTACATCTCAGGCACATTTCAACCTCAATACCTACATTCACATACTATACCCATCAACTGCTAGGGCATGGTGGATGAGTAAGTTAATATAATAAATCAGATTCTTACGTCATTATCTTATCTGGTGATGCAGAGCTAGGAGTAATGCCCTAGAGCAAATGACCCAAGAGAGCAAAACAAAAGGAAACAGCCTTGCTTCCTAAATTTTGGAAAAGCTTCTCTCACCACTTACAGATCAAGTTCGAAGGCTGCCTACTGATTCATGCCCCTAAGGAAGGCACCTCATAAGTCACTCTGCAATTTTCCTTATGAACCTTTGTGCTAAGCTTTGCCACAGTTTCACATGAATGAGAGTCCCTAAGGATTAATTTGTAACAATAATATGGATAATGAGCATGTAATTCCAATCTAAGGTTAACTGAATCTCTGGTTTTCCCAACAGGAGGAGCTTCCCATTCTATGGGGAAAGTTGGGTTGGGACCATCAGAGTTGATCATCCACTGAAAGTCTTAAGCCTGGACTCGATTCAAACAGAACATTGTTGTTGGACAAGGTCAGTACCCTGGGATTTTCATTTAAAACAAAGCATTCTCTTCTTGTGAAGCTATCCAGATATTTCTGTTTCTTTCTGCATACAACTTCAATGGGGGCACAAATACTTGTTCTATAGCTTTAAATTTCACATTTGATTAACAATATTACTAAGTGAAATTTAGAAACTGCAAAAATGTGTTAGGCACACAGAAGTTTAAAAAGTACAAAAATATGTACTAGAGAATAAATGACAATTTTTTCTACACCACTGCAAGAATTTTGTGCATCTTAGTCATAGAAAAGAAACTTGTGATATGCTAAATTTATTTTCTTTATTTTTAAGTACTGCTATTATTTTTAAACACTAGATTATAACATTCTTAGAAATGTAAATAAACTATTTTTTATGGCAACTGAAATATTTCTGCTATGTAAATATTTATTGACTCAGTACCATTCTGTTTGTTGTCTCAAAATTATCATAATTGAAAACAGAGCTTACTAAACATTGTCATATGTGGATAATGGACATATCCTTGTATTCTTCATAAATACTTCTTCTATTTCAGACTAAAATTCTAAAGCACATAAATTTTTGGTAATGTTTTTGACAAATCTTATCAAATTACTCCTGAAAAGAATATATGTACTTTTTCATCATACCCAAATTTTATAGAACTGTTTGTGTCCTTATCTTTTAAGTAAAAATTTCATCAAATTGTGAATGAAAATTCTGTTGTATAGTTTGTTTTTGTTATGTTACATGTAAGTCTGGCTAGATTTACATATAACTATTGGCTTTTTATGCAGGCTCTTATGTGTCATCGGCTTATGGGTTATACGCAATGTTCTACGCTCGTTTTGCAGGTTGTAAGATTGCCAGGAGGTGAGCATATTAATCCTTCACTGATCAGGCAGGTTGTGGTTTCAGCTAGCAAGCAATTGGTTTTGAATTATTCTTGCTTAGCAATTTACCATCTGATGGCATGAGATAAAGATAGTGACAAGATTTATTTACATTTATCACATGTCGCACACAGTGCCAAGGATTTTAAATATTTTATCTCTTCTAACATTAAAAACAACTTCATCAAGTAAATATTATACTTGTCTAATTCTACTTAATAGGAAGAGGTTTAAGGGAATAGTGTCATTCTGGAGGGTTATATAGACAGTGAAAGACAGGTTTACTTTCCCAGTAAGACCTGTGTAGGTAGAGTCTACTGCTCCTGGGTTCCTTTCTGTCTTTTTCTTGTTACTACATTATTAAAAAACACTACCTACCCAGAACAATGGTCTACATGTTGTCATTTTGTTATGATTTTATTTTTATGTCCTGCTTCTCAAATTACTCTGTAATATGTTATAAAATTTCTCTCAATAATATTTGTATTTCTTAATAGATAATTATCTTAATAGTACTTCCTGGAATATAAATCTTTTCTTTGCTGTGGGGCCATGCCTGAGTAGCCTATGTTGCCACCTGAGGCCATGATGACATCCAACATCTGCCAAGGCCTTATTTGGTCTCTAGCTCTACTGCAGTCAACACCTGTGTTGGTATCTGTGGCTCCTGTTACCACCAAAGACCATGCAAATACCTATGGGATGGGTCATCACCTGAGGCCATGTTGGTGTCTGAGGCTCAAGCTGCAGTTGGGGCCAAACAGATATGAGTGGCCTGGACTGCCGCAAGGGGCCATGGTAATACCTAGGCCCAGGCTGTGGCAGAGGGCCATGTGTAGGTCAGTGGCTCTGTAACAATGTCTGAGTTGAAGTCCAGGGTTCATGATACCACTGAGGACTATTCAGAGGTCCTGGGCCTAATCATGTGGGTTTCCAAGAGTCATGGTGTCCAAGAGCCATAGAGACATTGGCGTCTGAGGCTGCCAAGGGCCATCCATGTTTGGGACCTGAGTCCTAGTACAACTGGGATCAGTGATGATGTCCATGGCCCATTTTACCAAAGAGCTTCATAGGAACCATGTGTGTTGAAAACACACTGTATACTGTGTATGTGTGTGTGTGTGTGTGTGTGTGTGTGTGTGTGTGTGTGTGTGTGTTGGGGAGAAATAAGTACCTAAAGAGGAAAGAGAGAACGAGAAGAGATCATCATATCCTCACCCTTCCCTCCATAGTTGTTGTTTGTGAATCTATGAATGAACATCCACAAACATTTTTCCTGACATTTCCCAAACAGCATATTATAACCTTATTTGCTATGTATCAAGTGTTAACAAGCTAGAGACCATTTAAAGACGTGAGAATGTTCATGAAATTAAAGTAGGGATGTGAGAAGGCTCAGAGATGATAGAGCTGGACTGATCTCGGAGAGGATGAGTGTTAGGTTCCCCTCATCCATTTTAGGGGATAGACAAAAGAAAAAAATTACATAGATCCTTTTCGTCTTTTGTTTGACTTTTTCAAGAGCTGAAATGTTGACCCTGAAATTATAGTTGAAACAACTACTGATACTGCTTAAGGTGGCTCTTCTTTTTTTTTTTTTCTTGGTTTTTCGAGACAGGGTTTCTCTGTGGGTATGGAGCCTGTCCTGGAACTAGCTCTGTAGACCAGGCTGGTCTCGAACTCACAGAGATCCGCCTGCCTCTGCCTCCCAAGTGCTGGGATTAAAAGCATGCACCACCACTGCCCGGCGTGGCTCTTCTTCTTTAACCAAGTAAAAATGGGGAAAATAATCAAAGAAATATGAAATTTAAAAAACTAAGCACAACCTTAGAAAATTCAGCCAGTATGAGTTCCCAAAGTGCAATTAATTTTGTGGGCTCTCAAAATAAAGGGAAAAACTTTCCTTAGATAACTATTGCATTTTGGAGACTCCCTTGGCAGTATAGGTTCAATTGTGCTTGTATTTAGACGCTTCTCCAATGTCTTTCTTTCAGTGTCTCTTATGAGGGAAAACTGCTGCTTGTAAATGCCTAACCAGAAATTTGCTTTCAAAAATAAATCTGCCACTTAGCAACAAGTATTTCATCTTTTATGTACATAATCATCATTATTACTGGCATCATATTCAGGATTTTCCCTCTGGAAAAGGATGAGAAATCTCAAAGAGACTAACTGCAAAACTGACATGCCCTTTACAAAGTCTCCATTAGGTGTCTCATTTGGAAAATATGAACCAAATGAACAAAGTACAGGTTTAATTTTGTTTCATTAGATTGTGAAGAAACCAACATGAATTAATTAGTGTTAACTACAACACGCTTCACTAATATCCTGCCAACACAAGGATTTCCTACAGAGCCAAGATGAGAGACATGTTCAAGATGATAAGGAAGAAATGTATGTGGGTTGGTGCAATTATTCATACAATTACTGCTGCAAGCAATTTTAATTGAAAGGGGATTTTGCATTTGGGGGGTAATAAGTTCCATTAAGATCCTGGGCTAGACATTTAATTTTGTGTTAATGGCATAATTTTATGTTAAATGGATACAGATTCATTACTGAAGTTTATTTACTGCAGTGATGCATACAGGCTACAACATATTAAAAAGACAAGTAGAGAGCTGTGAAGGGTACCCCAGCTTAGTCTACACTGGTTGAAATAATAATAACATAAGAAGTAGCCCTGGGCAGAAACTCAGTCACTGACACCATGGGAAAGCCTGTATCTCCAAGGTGTGCATCTCTGAGGTACTGCCTGGAGCTTTGCTGTGTCTCCTGGATTTAAAAGAAAGCAACTCTTTTTCTGATTAAAAAAAAAAAAAACATGTTGCCTGTGTGAAGCACCTCAGCAAGTTTGCTCTAATGACACACTGAAACATAAATAACAGTAATATTTGCAAATCAGTGGTGAATGTTGACATCCAGGTTTCCTACGGAGGAAAATACACATATATAGAGGACAGAAACAAAGGGAAAACTGCCTGCAAAGGTAAGTAATGCACACTTGCCTGTTTGGCATATTAAAAAATTACACACTGCAAGGATTTCTGACAATAACCCTATGCCACCTAATCATGCTCAAAAATTCAGCCTTTACGCCTTTCAAATGTTCTTTGTGATTCTTCTTGCTGCCACTCAGTAATTGCATTGACTTAAATGGCAGACCTTATGTTCCACCTACTCACCCACCACACACAGAGTTTTAAATGTGTCTGATAGTTTGGCATTCACCTGTCACATGCCTAACTCTTCAGAAAGTACAGGAGAACTAGGTGACTTGGCCCTTCCTCTTCACTTTCTAAAGATAAATTTGGGCACTGGGAATCTCATTTTTTTTGTCAGGAAGCATTTAAGAGTTTATCATTTCCATGATGTGGAATGTCAATTGTAAGAAGAGTTGGAAAGTCACCAATACAGAGTAGAGAATATAT